TTAGGGAAGGTTTTTACATTTGTCTGTGCATATCCAGGGCTCATGTATGAGATTACTAACAAGCATTACTGAATAATCAGATGAGGGGCAGTTTGCTATGTCTACTAGGTGGCTAGAGTCTGATCCTCAGAGCCTATGATTTGGACGGTCAACAACGTGTAAATCTTTATGGGAGCAGAAAGCCTCATCTTTCTCCCGTGGAAGAGCTGGTAGTTTCAAACTGCTGACCATGAGATTAGCACATTTTTAAGTGGTCCTGGCAAATTCTCCCAGTTCAATTTAGGACAACTGGTCAAAACCAGTAATCTACTGACTTACTAAGCACACAGACGGAATAAGTACGGTGTTAAGAATACAATCCTTGGCACAAGCCTTTTCTAATGTTAAACCATTCAAGGTTCCCTTGTTCTTTTTGAACAACTGCCTCTTGATCTTTGTACAGTTTCCTCATGAGCAGAATTAAGTGTTCCAGAATACTCATTCTCTAAAATGTTGTCCCTGTCTTGTCATGATCCAATCAAAAACCTCTGCATACAAGCTAAGCCCTACAACGTTCAATAGACTTCTGTGAATCCGGGTGAAGACCTGGTTAGCCAGCAGTGTGGCAAGACCTGGGGACTCTTGGGCCCAGAGTCAGTGGCACAGCCACCAAGGACTAGAGTAGAGAGTGAAGCATCCAGCTGATAAAAAGAGAGGACATATGCACAAGAATACCCACACTTGCAGATAATACCCATTTGATGAACTTGACCTACACCTATGGATGCAGTAGCTCAAAACAGGTAACAAGTCTTTACAGCAAGGATCATTCCCATCCCCTCTATATACAGAGTAGACAGGGATGGGCAACTTGGACATTGGCTACCCAAAATGGGAGGGGGGGGCTACAGAGGCAAGTCTACAAGCTTTCAAGAGGGAACCTAGATCCAGAGGGCATGGAGGAAGGTAGAATCTCCAATGAGTAGTATACAATCTGTCTAGGCGGGGCTGATGAAATGAAATGTGGATAGGTCTCTTGTGATGCAACAGTAAATAATTGTTATCAGGACTGACTGTGAGGGTTGGAAATGTAAACACAGACATTTTGTAGCAAGGAGGGCAGTGATTAACTTTTCAGTCTAGGAGCGGAGGTCCCTGGGACCACCAAGGGAGAAGAGCAGAGAGCGGGACCCTACTCAGAGAGGCAGTGATGCCTGAGATGGAGGCAGAGATGATGAAGTGGAGAGATGGAGCAGCTGGGACTTTAGACACAGAAAGGGAGAGGGGCTGTGTCCTGACGACCGGGGGGCAGGCTTGTAGTGTATGCCCTTTGGTTGGTTGATGATACATGGAGGGGATTATAACCACAGCAATGAAGTGATATATGATAGGATGAATGTAAAACTAAATGTTCTCCCATGTAAACTATCACATAATTCACAATAAAACATTTAAAAACAAAACAAAACAAAAAACCTTTGCATAGTCAATAAATCACAGATAAACATTTTTGTGGCATTTTCTGCTTTCAGCCAAGATCCATTAGATGCCAGCAGTGATATACCTTGTTCCACCTCCTCTTTTAAATCCACCCTTAACCTCTGGCAGTTTCCTATGTTGGAGTTGTTTTGTAAATTCTTTAGCAAAGCTTTCCCTCCATGCAATATTAATCATATTATCTGATAATTTCTATCTTTCTTTGATCACCTCTCCTTGGAATGGATACACAAATATGAACCTCTTCCAATCAGCTGACCAGGTAGCTGTCTTCCAAATTTCTTGGCATAGACCAGTGGGTGCCTCCAGTGCTACATCTGTTTGCTGAAAGATTTCAATTTGTATTTCATCAATTCCTGGAGCCTTGGTCTTGCCAATGCACCTTGAGACTTCTTCCTTCAGTATCACTGGCTCTTGATTATGCTACCTCTTGATATAGTTGAACACTGACCAGTAGTGAAGCAGATTTAAAACACTTACTGAACTGATGAAGATCAAACAACACAGCCTTCAGTATCGGATGCCCTTCAGTATAAAGAAAACAAAAATCCTCACCACCTGACTAATAAATAACATCAAGAAAAATGGAGAAAAGATTGAAGTTATCAAATACTTCATTTTGCTTTGATTAACCATCAATACTCATGGAAGCAGCACTAGACCTCTTTGAAGTGTTCAAGAGCAAAGATGTCAGTTTGAGGACTTAGGTGTGCCTGATCCAAGTCAGGATATTTTCAATAGTCTCATATGCACATGAAAGTTGAATAAAGTGAATAAAGACCACAGAAGAATTAATGCATTTGAGTTAGGGAGTTGGAGGAGAATATTCAAAGTACTATGGGTAGCCAAAAGAACAAACAAATCTGTGTTGGAAGAAGTACAGCCAGAATGCTCCTTAGAAGCCAGGATGGCCAGATTTCATCTCTCTCACTTCAGATACATTGTAAGGAAGGACCAGTCCTCAGAGATGGACATCACGCTTGGTAAAGTGGAGGGTCAGAGAAAAAGAGGAAGACCCACAACAAGATGGGTTGGCACAGTGGCAGCAAAAGCGGGCTCAAGTGTATCCACAATTGTGATGTAGGCACAGGACAGGGTAATGTTTCATTCTGTTGTGCATAAGGTCACTATGAGTCAGTACCAACTCAACGGCACCCAACAACAACAACAAAACTATAATAAAGTCCATTCAGAGTAAGCCCTCATTCAAATAAAACGAGGCAAAGTTAAGAAGCAGGATACACTAAAAAAGTATAAATGAAGAAGCACAAGCGCATACTAATAAGGAACTATTCACCCCAAAGGCAAATAACAATATATAAAAATAAACTCACTACAAGCCAGCATAATTAACATTTCCAATGATGTCCAAAGGCTACTGAGAAAAATATTTCTAAAAAAAAAATTTAATAAAATTTAGTTCCTAAAGCAAGTTTTAAAATCTATAAAATTCAAATATGTAAAATCCTCATTTTCTAGAAACAATGGATAAACTGTCAATGTCCATAAGCAAGCCTTATTTTAAAAATACATTTGTAAGACTTAATAACAAGGTAAAGGCCAAGGGGTAGACTTCTAGGGAACCAGGCCTCACCCTTCAGTCTGTCTAATCCAGATTCAACTTTAGATTCAAAATAAGTCACGCCTAATAAAATTCAGTCTAAGAAAATTAGAGTCTACCTAAGTATCATGGAATGAACATAAACTGTTAGGTCAGTTGTATAAAATTATACTTGTAAAACCCTACAATGCGAAACGCGTCTAACCTAGTCTCCTTCGCACAATTTCGGCTACTGCCTTGAACGACTTCTCTCTACTGTACACAATGGCAACTCTTAATGAAAAACTGATTGTACCAGTTGTAGAAGAAGAGGCATCAGTTCCAAATAATAAGATCACTGTAGTGGGTGTTGGACAAGTTGGTATGGCTTGTGCCATCAGCATTCTGGGAAAGTCTCTGGCTGATGAACTTGCCCTTGTGGATGTTTTAGAAGATAAACTCAAAGGAGAAATGATGGATCTGCAGCATGGGAGTTTATTTCTTCAGACACCTAAAATTGTAGCAGATAAAGATTACTCTGTGACTGCCAATTCAAAGATTGTGGTGGTAACTGCCGGAGTTCGTCAGCAAGAAGGGGAGACTCGTCTCAATCTGGTACAGAGGAATGTGAATGTCTTCAAATTTATTATTCCTCAGATCGTCAAGTACAGTCCAGACTGCATCATAATTGTGGTTTCCAACCCAGTGGATATTCTTACATATGTTACCTGGAAACTAAGTGGATTACCCAAGCACCATGTAATTGGAAGTGGTTGTAACCTGGATTCTACTAGATTTCGCTACCTTATGGCTGAAAAACTTGGCATTCATCCCAGTAGCTGCCATGGATGGATTTTGGG